GCAAGAATTCAAAGAAGAAAAAGTATCATAAAAGGACTTGATGTAAAGGTCCTTTGCATACTAATAAATATGGTAGTTAATATACCTTCCGTAATGTGATACATTCATTTTTTAAAGGAAATGAAATGAGAGTTTAACCACTCATCAGCCCAATTCTCTAAGTACATGATGATCAAGAATGTTATTTTTAAATTTTTTCTGTAGGATAATATAACAGGAAATGTAAAATTGAGGAGTACCAGTGTTTCTCATGCAAACAAGCATTGATTTGTTAGAATCACCCCTGTCTGAGCTATACTTGGGATAATCAGTACATAAACAAATGCACTGCCTGAGTGACAGGCAGGGTAAACTGTAAAGTGGTTAAGCTAAGAAATTTCTTCCAAGAAAGACATTCTAAAGCGGTAAATGTTGTCAGTATCATTTCCCTGCATCTTTGAATTATGTCAGAGCAGTTTACATTCCCTTCTGAAGTATGATCACAACATTTGACTCTGCACTTCTTTTTATAATAGTAATGAAGATGATAAAATAATAATGCAGATGATTTTACGGGACAAATGTTACTGAATGTAGTTGAGGTTATTTGGATAGAAATTTTAAGTTGTAATACAGCTTTTATGTCTCATTATAACTAGAGAACAACCAAATTTAAAATAGATTATATAGGATTTGTATTTCTTCTTATATCTGACTTTTCTAGATTTGGTGGCACAAATCTCCTTTGCATAGGCTACAGATATCAAGTGGACAAACAAAGGAAAAACTACACGGAAGAGGAGGATCGTTTTCTGATCTGTAGGCTTCTTTAGCTTGGCCATTCCAAGGCAGGTGTGTGTGAGGAATTGCCGCAGTGTATTCACGGCTCTCCTCGTGGTGAGTGCTCAGGGCTTTCATTTCGTGTTGCCCAGTTCAGAATGAGGGCTGTTTGACTTTTCTGTCTTTGTGTTTTGATGATGGTGGCGATTGAACTCAGGGCTTTGTATGTGCTAGGCCAGCACTCTGCCCCTGAGCTACTTC